TCATAGAAATAAAGGCCTGGAGCTAGATACTACAGAGCCTTACAAGTCAAAAGATTTTCCTTCCTTCAAGGCCCACAAGAGGAAAAACAATCAAAATCCAAAATAACCTATAAAGGAGAAAACACATGCATATATTATAAAACATCTTATTTTTAATATATTTTAAGCAGAAATATATACAAAATATGTAATCAGCAATTGTAGGCAAGTTTGTGTGGATTATATGGGGGCAGCCATATATATAGATATATATATATAAAATTATTTCTGTGACCGCACAAATAAAAGATTAGCTCTTAATAAAAAGATACAACATTTTAAGTGTATATTTCTTTTTAATCAATCACTCTTTGCAAGTAAGGCTTTATTACTTCTGAGTTCTTGACAGGCACTTGAAAAAAGGTCACATAATAAACTGTGCTTATTTCTCATTGCAGAAAAACAATAAGCCATCTCTGCATCCATTATTTACCAAATTGTCTTCATTTTTCTTCTCCTGCTGTGTTTTCAGCAATAAATATAAATAATATTATAAACCAGCCTAGATATTTTCAGAGTGATCCAAAATTTGACAATGAGCTAGTCTTCTGGAGTAAAGGAGAGTAAAAGAATTAGGAAGAATTTGCTATCCAAGTCGTTTTCCAAAATATATGAAAGGCTATTTTTCACAGAAAGATCCATCTGGAATAGCAAATACATGTATTGAAAAAAATGTATTAAATCTAAAGTGATGCAATAAAATTTTATTATACCATTTCCTTTCAAAGCAATTATATTTTCCTAGGTAAATAAACACAAAGTACATTCTTTTTCAACTCTTTGTTTTTCTCCCTTCACTGCTCTATCATTAATAATTTCTGGCCTGAGTAGAAGTCCTTGTTACATAGCAAGGAAATATTTTTAAATGTCTTTGCAAACAAAATAAAGTATCTAAATGTGTTTCCTTACAATTAGAATAACTTAGCAATGAAGATGAATCTTCACTGTGCTCAAGGCTCAGACTGCAAATCCATGCTCAGACTCATGTAGGCACTGAACTGGTTGATGAGTTTCCCTGTGCCTCGGTCATCTTACCCAAGCAAAATGGTGGTGATGTGGTTTATAATATCTGGTTAAGCAAATTGCCCAAAACCACTAATAAGTTGAAGCTGGGATTTGAACATAAGCAATTTAGATTCAACATCTGTGCTCTTAACTAACAGGATATAGAACATGCTGGACCCCTTAAGAACCCTTAAAGAGCTTCAGAAGACAACCTGGTACGATGTCCTGTCATGTGTCACTGTTTTATTTGACTGTTCCAGCCCAGTTCTGTCACATTGTCTCATCACAAAATTGGGTTGCATGGAACTCAAATTAAGAGGACATGCACACTCAGGAATGTGGAGCACTCATCATCTGCTGTGGTCAAGGGGACAATCTGTAAAGAAAGTGAACAAGGCAGATGGAGATAAATGCAAAAACAGAGATCCAAAATGCTCTTAAGAGAGAAAGAAACAGGAATCTCCCAGTTCCTGAGAGTCTCCCAGACTCTCTTCCTTGATGTATGTGAGTTTTTCCTGACAGCTTCATGCCCTTGGTCCACAGTAAAAACTTGTGACAAGGATATATGTGTGCATATGTGTGTTTAAGGAAAGGTCATAAGATTTATGTCAGTTTATTTTCTTTATACAAATTAAATGTCTTAAAACATTTTGGTAATACTTGGCTATTTTAATTTAACTTTGCTGCTTTTTCTTTTTTTGATAAGTTTCTAACACACATGGCAAAACCCCTAGTATTTTTCTAGGCTTTTCCTTCCATTATTGCCCAGCTCAAGAATACACCACCCCCAAGTCCTCTCTCACCCTCCTTTTTGAGCTCCAGCATCTCTGCCTTTGCCCAACTCTTTCAAACACCTACACTGCCTGCTCCCAGAGCCTCTAGTCCGTCTTGTGCTCAAGTTCAAACTCAATATTCCTTTCTCTTCAGTGTCTTCCTAAATCATTCAGGAAGAATTGATAATTTTCTTATTTGTACTCACACTGCATTTATATATTGCCTTATACTATATTATGTTTTCGTTAGTGGTTAAAGTATTTCCCTCCCAAGGTCACAGACTGGGCAGTCTGTGTACTGTTTGCCCTTTTAACCTGACTACTTAGGCTGGTGCCTGGGACGTAATAAGTGCTCAAAAACATCAAAATATGTTTCTGTGTGACTGAACTCAGCAATATCACTGGGAGTTCATTTATGTGTATGTGAGATTTTGTGAACTCTGTAGATAAACAAATTATGTTATTTTGAAGTAGCGTCTATCCGATAAGAACTATATATGGCATATGGTATTCAACATAATTAGAAAATATAGTGTTTCATAAAAATAGAGGGGTACATTTTGATAAAGTTTTCTGATAACAATAAAATACATTAGGGTTTTCTGTTATTTTTTTGATAAAACTAAAATATTAATTAAAAATAGTCTGAAAAATTAGCATTTTAAATTAGACCTATTTATTCAAATTGGAAGGTTGTTTCATTATTCATACTATTAAGAAACATATATATATATACATATTTGTGTGTGTGCATACATACAAAGATTTTAAAATGTGAAGTTTACATTATTTTCTTCAGTTCAGCTAAAAATGTTCTTACAAATTTACCTCTAATTCTCATTTTGTTATTATGAACCCTCTACATTTGGCAATGTATTATTGCTATTTTTTAACCATTGTATAAACATCCTAGCAAGAAAATTTTCCTTGTTAAAGAGATATTGGTCAAAAGATACCAATTTTTCTTTACACAACAGGAATAAGTTGAAGAGATCTATTGTGCAACATAGTGACTATGGCTAATAATTAATATTATTGTATTTTGGAAAAAAATTTAAAAAAGACTTGTAGGTGAATGGAACAATCATATATTTGGGGAAATTCAGACTTTGTAAACATGTAGATTCTGGCACAAATAAAAAACAAATTATCTGGGAAAAAGAAAAAGAAAGTCTTTCTTCACTAGCCCTTTCTCTGTCCACCTATTCCTGGTAAGCAAGAGCATCACTAAATATTCCTGAACTAGCAGCCAGGAGGCCTAGCACTGGCCTGTGAACTCACTTGTGAAGAGTAATTTTATGTCTTAGTTCTTCAGTTTGCAGCACAGGCCTTTTCTTATGTCTTCTCTACTTCAGTCTGGAGGTTGCTGTGGAGATAAAACAGGATAATGTGCATGCTAGTGCTTTGAAAAGTATAAAATACGATATAAATATAAGATGTTATTGTAAAAGGGGGTTTAAAACTATGGCATAAAAAGACTTGTTATAAAAATAAAATAAAAGTGACTCTAGTCACTTATTTTTATGAGGCACTTTTCTCTCTTTGGAAAAATATAATTTACTAATTCAAGAGAGAGCTATTAATTTCTAAGTCCTTCACAGCCATTAAAGCAGGCATGATGACTTCAATTCAGTTTACAAATGGAGTGGGCATACTGCAGGGGAATGCTACTCTCAGGTTACATATAAATGGAATTAAATTAAATTAATGAAAAGAGAAGAAAAGCATGTGTAGATAAATAACTAACTCATCTCCTAAGAGTCTCAATGTCTGAAATAAGACATGAGTTAAAATATATTAAATTTTTCACATCTCCTCCCTGGGCTCCATCAAATATCATTTGGAAATTATTTCTAAAATACTAAATATTAATAAAAATAATATCTGTATGACACCTCTCACACTATTATGTGTAAACTTGTCATTGGGTTTTAAATTCAATGGAGTGTGGGGTGCTTCTGATGCACCTACAATGATATATCAGTGAGGAAACCCAATAACTTTGAGGGTGTTTTCAAAATCCACTGTGAAAAACACACAATCTCAGAAAGTCATCTTGGTAAATGGTGAAAAACTGAACACATGGCAATAGGTACTTCTAATTAGATGAGGATATTATTTATACTTTGATTTTAGACTATTCTTTTAAACTGCTTTGAGTTTTTTATAATTTTCAAAATATGATGCCAAACTGAAAGTGTGGAAAGTAAGAAATACAAAGTGATCCTCTTAAGGGCAGCTCATGTGTTTGTTTTCTTTGTCATCTGACGCTTAGTTTTATTTTGGTCCTAGCAACAAATACCACTGGGTTAGAGAAGAGGAAGATATCTGAGTGACCATGGGAAAATTTGTGGCCCTCTCTGTGACTCAGTTTCCTTAGGAGACAAATAGGGATAATGACACTTAATTTTCAAGATCTTTGTAATGCTTGAAAGAGTTAATGTTTGTAAATTGAATTATACAAAGTGTCAAATGTAGTTTTTGTTGCCTTGTCATGATGTTGTTAAATCCACATCCTGTTAAATGACAGGTTCTGGGAGAGGGGAGTATTTTTGGCATGCCACAGGACTCGCTAGACAGAGTAATCTCTGATAATATTTTTCTCGATGATGTAGGAAGATAAAGAACACATTAATTGAGTTTTCTGATGGTGCAAAGTGAAATGGTATTAAAAATTCAACAGCTGAGTTGATAATCCAAAATGAATTAAGTCTAAGAAGAGGAAATTTCAAAGTGTAAGGCCTTGTACTTGGATTTTGAAATCTAAATTCTGAAAAATAGATTGGGGGAAATATGGTTTAGCAATAGTAACTTTATCTATACATCTATCTATCTTTCTTTCTGTAGGTAAAAGAGGAAAATGCCTTATGGCTTAAATTAAAAATAAAAATTTAAGTCTTCAGACAGATGAAATTAAACAAATGGTACAGTTTTTTCAGGACTCAACTAAGAATTTTATCTGAAACGCTCCCACTGGACTAAATAGTGATTAGGTAAAACTGGAAATATCTGTATAGCTCTGGGTACCAGTTGTTGTTGTTGTTGTTGTTTTGTAGGAAGAGAGATAAACTTGAACATTAGAAAATAGGAAGGAGAACATTAGTAACAATCACTATTTATTGTGTATTAGATCTGTGTTAAGCTTTTTTTAATATGGATTATTTTATTCTTCCTTTACATCAGCCCACCATGGAATATATCATATTTACCCTCAGTCTTGGAGAAGGCCCAAAGGAAAGCCAGATGAACACCATCCTAAATGTGAAGGCCTGCGAAGGCAATGGGATAAAATTGCAGGTGGGTTTCTGTTAAAATACAAACTAATCAGTCACAGGTCAGAGAGAGAGAAAGAAGAGAGAAATATTCCATGAGGAAGTGGAGAGAGATTGAGCATTGTATCTGCAGCATAATTTAACGACTGTCAGATTGGGCTATGGTACCAAACAGCTATCTGTCTGTTTCTTGTAGTGTATTTAGATGTATGAGTAAGTGTCTCTGGTTGCCATGACATGTTAATAATCAGCACGATTAGTGGATACTGATATTACCTCTACTTTCTGCTGTGATGTTAGCTGGCATTAAGTTCATCTTGTCTTTACTGAAGATACACCCAATTTCCTGAAATTAACAACTTTCAGCTATCTTTCATATAATCTGCCTCTAATATCTACTGAAAACAATCTCTAAGCAAAAGTAACTGTGTACAGTCATAGAAATCATTTTAAAAACTAAAAATGACTAAGCCTTTACCTTTCCATCAACTTCATGTACCATTAGTTGCCCATGTTGGTTTTTTTCTAATATCTTTAATTAAAGAAATATAAAAACTCCTTTTAATAAAAACGTGTAGGCACATTAACAGGAAAGACTGTCAGTCTCAAACTGCTTAGGTCGAGCCTGAGTAAAATCTATTGATTTTGTTTTCAAATCTGAACACCCTTTTAAACTATTATAACTTCTTTTTGGTTTTATTTGATTTAATGTTTTGTCTTTTCCACCAATTTTTCTAAGAGTTTCAGCAATTTGGCAATCTTGAAATGCATATAAAGAATAAAATGGGTCATGCGCGGTGGCTCATGTCTGTCATCCCAACATTTTGGGAGGCCGAGATGGGTGGATCATGAGGTCAGGAGATCAAGACCATCCTGGGCAACATTGTGAAACCCCATCTCTACTAAAAATACAAAAACTTAACTGGGTGTGGTGGCACGTGCCTGTAGTCCCAGCTACTGGGGAGGCTAAGACAGGAGAATTGCTTGAACCTGGGAGGCGGAGGTTGCAGTGAGTCAAGATCGCGCCACTGCACTCCAGCCTGGGGGACAGAATGAGACTCCATTTCAAAGAAAAAAAAAAAAAAAAAGAACAAAATGGTAGACTAAGACTAGCCAAGCTTTTATTCTTCAGAAATAATTATTTTTTAAGTGCAGAAACTAAACCAACGTTTCAGAGCTCTGGAAACCAGTAAAAGGTTTATAGCAAATAAGCTAATACCCAATAAAGAAAAAAAATCTTTAAAAGAATAGGGAAATTTTGTGGCACTTGAAATTAGCTTTCCTCCTGCCTCTCTTGGGCATGACAGTGGTCTTGAGTTTAAGATAGCAGTAGCCTGGTTTCCAGTTCCTTCCCTTCAACTAGAGGAAGCAGAGCAGAGCTTATTTGAAAATTACTGTGCACATCTGTTTTAACTTGCCTGGTGAATGCATGAAGGGTTGACACAAGGTTATCATCTCTGTTTTGTCTAATGCACAACTCAGGTGGAAAAGTGGCAGAGACTGCCTGTAAAATGTGCAAGGTGACTATAGCAACCTGGGCCAAGAGATTACAGGTAGAACATATAGTAGACCAACTAAACTCTGGAGAAGAAATCGGGCTGAGGCTCTTTGGAAAATTAGGACATTCAGAAGCAGCCATATTTACAGGGACATTTAGAAAACCAGGAACCTGTTCCGACAGATGCATGTGCAACCAAATCCTATGAAAACCTTACTCTTTCACCTCAGGCTGATCTCTAGTCTCAGAAAAGGCCTGTGTTGAAGTGTTTGCTCTTCTAGTACAGAACCAATTTGCAAAAGCTAGGAGAGCTTTTGGAATTCAAGAAAATTTTATTAAAATATAAGCAAAATGCAAGTGAAAAGAACAGAGAGACTTCCATCATCACATGCAACAAAGAATAGTCTTCAAAAAAGTAATTTGGAAAATTCTCAAAACACATAGACCATTATAGCCTTCAACCATTAAGAGCAAATAAACAAACAAACGAAACCAAGAAAATCCTGAGATAAAGGAGATTTTGGTTTCTAGAGTTACCACATTATGATAATCAAATTTCTAATTTGCAACAACAAAAAATCATAAGGTATACAAAGAAATACAAAAACTTGGCCCATTCCAAGGAGCAAAATTAATTGACAGAAGTCATCTCCCAGGAAGTCCAGACACTGAAATTACTAGACAAAGTATTTAAAACAATTATCTAAAATATGTTCAAAGAGTTAAAAGAAGGCATGGTCAAGAGTAATAGCATAAATGAAGAAAAGCATATATAAACAAAATGAGAATGTCAGCAAAAAGATAGAATTTTTTTTAATTAACAAAAACATCTAGAGCTAAAAAGTTCAATAGTTGAAATTTAAAAATTTACTACAGAAGTACAATAGCAGATGTGAACAGGAAGAGAAAGAACTTGTGAGTTTGAAAAGAGAAAAACTAAAATTATTATGTCTGCAGAATAGACCTCACAGAAAGACAAAGAAATAAAGAACAGTAAACAGAACTTAAGGTAATTGTAAGACACCAATGAGCTGATCAACATATGCATTTTGGGAGTCTGAGAAGGGGAGGAGAGAAATAAAAGGAAAATGAAGATTATTTGAAGAAATAATGGCTGAATATTTCTCAAACTTTATAAAATTGATGAATCTATAAATCTAAGAATTTTGATAAACTCCAAATAGGATAAACTTCATAAGTCCATATAGAGATACATTATAATCACACTTGTAAAAGACAAAGAATCTTGAACGCAGCAAGAGACATGTGACTCCTTTACATACCAGATCCAGAAAATCTGTCCTTCAAGATTTGAGAACTTAAGATATTCCATAATATGCTAAAGCTGAGAGAGTTTACGACTACTAGACCTGCCCTACAAGAGGTGCCAAAGGGAGTTTTAAGGTTGAAATTTAAAAAGGCTACAGAGTAACTCAATGCTTCATGAACATATAGTGAGCTCTAATAAATGTAAATATAATATGTGAAGAAACAGAGAAAAGAGCCACTATTACATTAATTTTGGTTTGGAACTCTACTTTGTATTTACTATAGGACTTAAAAGACAAATACATTAATTATTATAAATACATGTTATTGGTCACATAATTTATAAAGATATACTTTGTGACATCAGAAACATAAAAGAGAGCAAGGTGAGTAAGGTTGTAGAAAAGTAGAACTACTAATTGCAATAACAGTTCATTTGGCATCAATTGAAATAAGAGTATAATAATTTTAAGATTTATATAATCCCCAGGGTAACTGCAAAGAAAATATCTTTAGTCTATATACAAAAGAAAAGGAGAAGAGAAGCAAAACATGTCATTACACACTCAAAAATTCAAATGAACACAAAATAAGTCAGTAATGGAGGAATTGATGGCAAATAACAAAAAGGCAGAAATTAAGTCTTCCCTTATCAGGAATTACCTTAAATATAAATGGGTTAAACTACCCAATCAAAAGGCAGAGATAGGCAAAATGTATAAAAACGCAATGAAACAAATCATTATCCAGCTGTATACTACCTACAAAAGACTTACTTTAGACCTAAAGGAATAAATGGGATAAAATTAGAAGAACAAAAAAACACACTTCATATAAATAGTAACCGGCCGGGCGCGGTGGCTGATGCCTGTAATCCCAGCACTTTGGGAGGCCGGGGCGGGTGGATCATGAGGTCCAGAGATCGAGACCACCCTGGCCAACATGGTGAAACCCCATCTCTACTAAAAACACAAAAAATTAGCTGGGCACGGTGGCACGTGCCTGTAATCCCAGCTACTCAGGAGGCTGAGGCAGGAGAACTGCCTGAACCCAGGATGCGGAGGTTGTGGTGAGCCAAGATGGCGCCATTGCACTCCAGCCTGGGTAACAAGAGCGAAACTCCATCTCAAAAAAATAAAATAAAGTAACCAAAGGAGAGCCTAGGGTGCTATACTATCAGATAAAACAGATTTTAAGTCAAAAACTGTTCTAAGAGACAAAGAAGAAAAACATATATAGATAAAAGGATAAGGTAATGTGAAGACACCAATTGTAAATATATATGCACCAAATAGAAGAGCCCCAACAACTAACAAGGAAACATTGGTAGAACTGTAAGGAAAAATAGTTCTACAATAGTTGGAGACATCTATACTTCAATTTCAGTAACTGTCCTCTTCCCCACTGCCAATCATGTAAATCTACCTATATTTTCATTCTTGTCCATCCCTCCTTCTTTGTATTATCATGGAGAAGTGCTCTCTTATCACATTTACAAATTTTCCAGTTTTCCTTCTGTTATTTTTAGTTATATTTGATAGTAATTTTAAGAGGACATGTTGTGTAATTTCAGTCTTTTTAAATTGATTAAGACTTGTTTTGTAGCCTAAGATATGGTCTACACTGGAGACTGTTCCATGTGCACTTGAGAAAAATGTGTATTCTGCTCTTGTGGGGTAGAGTGTTCTATATTTGTCTGTTAAATCTAATTTGTTTAAAGTGTTGTTCAAGCTCTCTTTTCTGTTATGGGTGTTTAGTAGGACATATAATAAAATAAACATTCAATTTAATTTCACATCCCCTGTGAGATCCCCATTCTTTCAAACTCAGTTATTGAAACAATAGGGATGAAAGATGTATGTAGGTTTGTATGATTGGTAGCAGGGCAAAGATAACATTTCTTCATAAAGCTTACTGTTCTGAGAGGGAGGATATGATGTCATCTACTTTAGATGAGAAAGAAGTTAAAGTATTATGTGTTAGAGGAGAGAAGGAAAAGTCTTCAAGAGTTGTGAAGTATGAAAGTAAGATTTGACTAGTGTTGATGATAATTGAAGTTTAGAATCTGTTGCCTTGATTTTAGTAAACCAGAACTCAATCTAATGTGCTTTAGTTTTCCAACCATTACTTAGAGGCCATTCTCCTAGATGAACAGTGGGACCCTACTCAATTTATGTTTTATTATTTACTTATTACATAAACTTAGCTGTTTATAAAACCCTTTAGGCAGCTTAAAATGTCAAATTTATTTATTTTAA